AAGGTGCATTGCAATGATTGAGAAAAGTATCAATGAATGGATTTAACCAGTCACCTCTTAAGTTAAGATATTGCAATGTTAATGGCAATATTTCTGCAAACTGCTTAATTCGTATTTTTAGTACTTCATCTGGCGTGTAAATAATATTAAACAATAATGTGAGAAATTGAAGTTTTTGTAAATTGCCAACAAGCTCCAGGAGTTGTGTGAAAAAATCAATATTCGAAATGTTGAGATACGTAAGATTTGGGCAAAATGACTTAAGTGCTTCTAGAAATATAGATTCATCCAAAATTTCATCTATTGGATTAAATGTTAATCGTTGTAGTAGTATGCCGGACTTCTCTAAAATTGATGCTATAGTCGATCCATTAATCATACAACCACTAATCTCTAAAGTGATGATTTTATAATTTAGCTTTTTCAACAGTTTCGTACCGCAATGCCTGATTCGAAGAATTTCTAATTTTTTAAAATTTTTCAGTATCTCGAACTCTGCACTATAATCACAATACTCTAATATAATTTCTTGTAATGAGTTTTTTTGACTTTCTAAAGCCAAAATGGAGCCGTAAAATTCTGTACAATAATCAAAATCATCACCAACAAAACCAAATTGCCTAAGTTGCTCTTGTGATTTAATAAAACAACCGAAAATACAAAGTAATCGTGACACATGATTGAAATCAAATATATCAATATTCAAAGCAGTGATTTTCCTAGTATTTTTTTCCAAGATTCCAAATAATTTAATAGCATATTCATAGTTATCGTATGTTAGAGTACCCAAAGATAAATTTTGGAGTCGTGAGAAAAATTGCTCATTTTGTTCTAATATGCAAAAGATCTCTGGCTTAATAATTTCAGAAAATTCTATATATAATTTGTGTAAAGTGGCGCTCTTGAAAAATAATTTAAGTAGCAAATTATTTACATGTTCCTTCAGTGAGTCGCGAGATTGAATATCCTGGGAATCGACCCAAATTCTAACCCTGAATTTTAGACTGAATATATTGAGAACCTTTAGAAATCTTGCATAATCGAATAGAGTCTCGGAAAATTCCTTATTTATTCCAAATTTTTTTAAACCGAATTTTTCGTCTTCATTAAGAGATGAAATATACACAGAAATTAATGAAGATCTTCGTTTGAATAAAAATGGATCTTGCCAAAGAATAGGAATTGACATTTTGCACCAATGTCGGTTCACAAGTGCGCACGAGTATAAGGTTTCAATTTCACTATTGAAATTTTTAAGAATATTTCCCATTAATTCGGGCATATCTCCCGTAAATATTTTTGATGCCATGGATTTTGCTGTATTAAACGTTATCGTTATCGTTATCGTTATGAGAAAGGATCAAGCCTGTTATTGTTACACGTATGTGCGTATCGGGTATTTATATTGTTAGGTAACGGTAATGTACCCCTAAAAATTGATTACCCTTATGTCCTGCAAATCCGGACTTCCGATCAAAATTTAGATAATTCAATATTACAATCGTTTTTTATTTATTTTTTGTATAAAACAATAATCCTATATGTAAATTATTGTTCCGAAAAGTTTTACTTAGAACCCGAAAGCAGGTTATCATAATAAAATTTTGCGTTAGCTACAGGGTTTTAGTTTTTTTCTTTGTTTTTGTTACACAAAGATCTTCATTATTTTATTGGTTCCGATATATACGGAGTGGTCCGGATTTGCAGGACATAAGGGTACCCCTAAAGATTGAATATGGCATCCACTTATTTGTGTCGGTAATACAACCCTCTAAAAAAGATATGGCAAATCGAGAACGTAAAATGTGATGATCCCGGATCAGCCCGACACGTGAGTAAAGCGAAGAAAAACACCGAAAAAGAGAAAATACTCAAAAACTAGTGTTTAAATCGACCTTTTTGGACTAATAAAAAATAACGGGAATGAAATTTTACATATAAAAAACTCAAATTATCACTAAAAGCTCACAACCCTAAAACTAACCCTAATGCTAACCCTAAAGTCCTAATCCTAAACTTTCTTAGTTTTTGGTTTGTATTACCGGTGCAAATAAGTAAATTGGGGGTCCGCTAAAGCCTTGTACCCACGTAATCAATCATGCATATCAATAATCACAATGTGATAAAATACATTTCACTATCAAAACAAAAGCTGCACCAAAACTTTGATCAAAGATATCCCGACAACCATCTAACAGAGTTTGATGAAAATTTTTTTATTTGAATTCTATGGATCCATAGAATTCAAATAAAATAAATTTCACCAAATTTGATCAGGTGGTTGTCGAGATATCTTCGCTCAAAGTTTTAGAAAAGATCAAAACATCTATCAGAATAGAAGCTATGCCAATTTTTTTTAAACCTTTGAACGAAGATATCTCAACAACCACCTAACAGAGTTTGATGAAAAATTTTTTATTTCAATTCTATGGATCCATAAAATTCAAAAAAAGACCCCACCAAATTTGGTTAGATAGTAGACAAAATATCTTCGCTCAAAGTTTTAAAAAGATCAAAACATATATTTGAAAATAGTAAATGCGCCAATCTTTTTAAAACTTTGAGCAAAAATATCTTGACAACCACTTGACAAAATTTGACGAATTTTTTTATTTAAATTCTATGGATGCATATAATTTAAATAAGAATTTTCATTGAAATTGATTGGATGTGTGTCAAGATATATTCGCTTAAAGTTTTTGAAAAAATCAAACCACCTATTACTATGCCAAATTTTTTTAAAAAAATATATTTCAATACTCACCTGTTCAAATTCAATGAAATTTTTTTTAAAATTGAATTCTATGGATCCTTAAAAAAAATTTATCAGAATTGATTAGGTTATTGTCATGATAATTTCATTCAAAGCTTTTAAAAAAAAATTGGAGCAGCTTCTATTAATTAATCATTTGATTTTTAAAATTTTGAGCAAAGGTACCTTGACACCCACCTGACCAAATTCAATGAAAATTTTTTTATATAAATTATATAGATCTATAGAATTAAAAAAAATTCATTAAATTTGGTTAGTTGGTTTTTGATATAGTTTTGCTCAAAGTTTTAAAAAAATTGGTGCAGCTTCTATTTATGGGATGTTTTTAATTTTTCTAAATTTTAATAAAAATTTTTCATCAAATTTTGTCAGGTAGTTGGCAAAATAATTTCGCTCAAAGTTTAAAAAAATTAGTGTAGCTTAAATTCTGATTACGTTTCAATTTTTTTCTAAAATTTTGAGAGATAATATTTCGACAACCATTTGATCAAATTTGATAAATATTTTTTTATTTAAATTCTATGGATCTATAGAATTTAAATAAAAAAATTTGAGTGAATTCAGTCATGTGGTTGTCAGAATATCTTTGCTTAAAAGTTTAGTACAACTTTTGTTTTAATAGTGAAATGTATTTTATCACATTGTGATTATTGATGTACATAGTTGATCATATGAGTACAAGGCTTTAGCAGACCCCATAAATAGAGTGATTGACACTGTATAAATATAAAAAATTTCTGACTGGAGTAATATGTGAAACCACTGATATTGAAATTGGCAATTGTAGCATATTCAATTATTCAGAAAGGAAAACTGTGATTCAGGTATTAAAAGGGCTTGGATATTCAGATTTTGTGATTATGTCAATTACAAGACATAAATTACAAAAATGCTTATCTATATATGAACGACCAAAATCAATTATACAGTATGAAGACCTTGGTAAATTATTTAATGCTCTTACAAGAAATAAAAAAACATTAACCAAAAGTATTTATTTAAGAGAGTTACTATTTCCACTATGGTAATTTGCTATTTCCACCATAGTTATATAAGATTTTCTATTTTTAGATAATAATTAACCCTAACACTAATGTATTTACTAATTTCCCTCCACAGTTGTGATATTGGACCAATTAAGATACAAAATAAGGTGTAATGTGATAATCAAAACAACAATTGTTTTTTTTTGAAAAGTAATACTTATTGCAAAACTTCACCTAAGAAATCATCTTTTATGCACTAGCAAAATAATTTCTTGCAAAATTTTAGTATAATATTACCTACTAACTCTAATTTCAAACCTTAACTGAGGTGTTATATTTTATTTAAAAGGTAACATTTAAATTTGTACAAATAATCCTAGCTGTGGAGAGAAATTAGTAAATGCAACACTAACACTAACCCTAACTATAGCCTCTAACCTTAACTCTAACTCTAAAACTAATAATTAAACATTTCTTCTAGCTCTAAGTAAAGTTGTAGAGGAGACTTTTCTGGTTTTAATAGTGGTTATATCATCAAAATCAGAATGTAAATTCCAAGATATTTGGGGTTAAAGATGTGAATATAAAGATCATATTTGTGCCTTTAACCTCAAATATCTTGGGATCCACTAGGCTGATTTTAGTAATCTAACCACTATTAGAACTAGAAAAATCTCCTCTACAACTTTGCTTAGAATTAAAAGAAAGATTTACTTATTAGCTTTAGAATAATTAAAGCTAAAGTTAGTTTTTTAAAAATTAAAGATCTTTTTTTTCAGTAAGTAAACATTTCTTCCAACTCTAAGTAAAGTTGTTCTAATAGTAGTTAGATCATTAAAATTGGCCTGGTGAATCCCAAGATATTTGGGGTTAAAGATACAAATATAAGTATTATAAACTATAATACTATATATAATAGTAAATTTGTAGATTTTTATGTTCACGCCTTTAACCCCAAATATCTTAGGATCTACAAGCTGCTTTTGATGATCTAACTGCTATTATAACTAGAAAAGTCTTCTCTACAACCTTACTTAGAGCTGAAAGAAAGATTTATTTATTAAAAAGTTTTTTAATTTTTAATTTACTATATGAATACTAAAAATAAAAATTTTTATATAACCATAGTAGAAATATGCATTCTCTTATTTAATTGTTAATTAATTTTAAATTATTTTTTTATTAACTGACAATTTTTATTTTTTCAGATAATGAAATAACTAAAAAACAAGTAACTAATTATGTAGTAAAAGAATCTCTCAGTCTAAGTAGTAATTTGTAATAGCAAGTTCTTACTTTAAATAGGCTAGTTCACTTACATCACTTGTAAATAGCATAGACAGTCTTGAATTTGATGTAATTGATGAATTGAATGAAAATAGTAAAGAATTGCAACAAGTTAATAAAAAATCTTTGCATACTGCTCATAAACCTTTGCAAAAAGCCTTAATTAAATATAAACAAAATAGTTAAAAAGTACCCAAAAAAGTCAAAAGTCTAATAATTCTAAAATTCTTAAAATAAAGATTTTATTGAGAAATTTCTTATGGAAAGTACATTTAATAATTCTAGTTTCTCAAAAAAAGAGTTTACAACTCCTTTTGATAATTATCTAGACCATATTTTCTGAAATTCTTTAACTAAAAAACAGTAATATACTGCAAGAAAAATATAAGACAAGAGAAAAGGGTATAAGAAGAACTGCAATTGTTGTTTAGAGGTAGTTCTTATATGCTACCTGCTAACAAGCTTAGAGTTTATCACTTATAGCAGTATAGCATTTGTTATTTAAAGATAGTTCTTATACACTATTTGCCAACAAGCCAAAAGTTTATTACTCACTGAAAAACTGTATACTGTGCCAACTTGTGAAATATTTATTAAGGTCTTTAGAACTTACACTCATTTGAATACATACTAGTAGTCTCTTTTGTGTTTTTTGCTTTTTGCTGTTCTTACCAAAAATTTCAACAAAAAAGTAGGTATTTTAGCTCACCCCTTCAAAAGATTGGCATTGTTTGCATCTACCTAATTTGGATGAACTCAGTAGAATGCAACAATATATTTGTTTTGTTTATCAATACGGTGCTATGGTATGAGGAAGAGATTATTACCTCTATTTAGAAAATACTCAAGTTGAGTCAGTGCCCAAAACAAGTTCCAAAGCTAAACCAAAAGTTTTACAATCTAGATATAGTAATTAGTTGCAATTATTATAAAATTTTTATCCTTATGTCTGGAATAGGCAATAACAGTGTGTCATGCAACTTTTTTTTTACTTTTTTCATCTTTGTTCATTTATATTAGATTATTTTAAGAATTTTAGTTTGGTTTTTGTTTTTTTTATTGCTGTGAGACATTTTTTTTCTAAAATGCTTATGTTTTTCATAAACTTAAAGAAGTTTATATAGTTAAAGAAAGTTTTTTAAAGATATTTTGGTATCCACTAGGCCAATTTGGATGATTTAACTACCATTAGAACCGCAAAGATGAGCTCTACAACTTTCAATTAAGTGACAAAGTCAATTAACTTAGTACAAAAAAAGTTGTTTTTTTTAGACACATGTTAGAAATTTTTTAGATAATAAACCATGTTATATTATACTATGATCATTTTTCTATTGAGTGGCAGATCATCAATTAATAACTTTATATATTTAAATTGCAGAGTAGAAGAAATATTTAGCATCAAGTATTGTTATAATTTAATATAACTAATTGTTATTGGTACTATTTATAATTTAAAATAAACAAATTTATAAATAATTAATAGCTACAAATGAATAGATGCCTCTTTTGAAATTGAAAAAAATGAAGATCGAAAATGCGTATCAGTAAAATTGATTTTTTGTAAAGAATCTAAAAATATTCTCAAGATAAGTGAAGGTAGATTTGCAACTGTATATAGAGCTAGATAGTATGATAAATATAAAATCTCAACAAATCTGTTGCACTCATAAATCAATTAATTATCATAAAGAATTTATAAGAGAAGCAATCTTTGTTAAATTTTTTTTAATTAATTGCAATAAATTATTTGTTAATATTAATAATTTGGTTATATGGTGCTCCAAGCCACTTGTCATTGAAAATGATATATTTTTTAAAAATCTATAAAATTTTAAGTTTTAAATATTTTTTAAAAATATAACTGATAAAAACTATTGTTTTTCATTAGTTTTATTCAAATTATCAGTTAGAATTTTTTAAAAAGTTTATAGTTTAAAGGAATCTTCTTTAGTATAGCTGGGCAATATAAAAATATTATAAAATTATAATATAAAAAAACTCTGATTCTAATTCTAGAGCTAACTATAAACTTTACTATAACTCTTAATTAATTCTAACTAATCTCAAATTTGCTTAAATTAGTTCAAATACTATGTTTACATATTATAATCTTATAATAATTCTATATT